CCTGTGAGCATCTCACTCGCCAGCACTGACAGTGTGAAGTGCAGCCTCACGTGGCCAGTTACTATAGACAAGTTAACAGGAGTAGTCACTCGTAGTTCTTTTATTTATTTTCTAAAGAAAAGTTTAAAAGTGTAAGTTTTTTTAAAAAACATAATCATTGTTTTCATATTATGATTTTTGCTCCCTTTACTTAAAAAAATAAACAGTTAATTCAGTGGACACAAGCACATTTGAATCCCCAGCTATCAACACCTTGTATATTTTAAACATGGTGGACTATGAGAATGCTTTTAAATAGTCTGGACCAAAACAAAGCCAGTAAAAAGGTAGAAATAAAAGTAAAAATCTAATGATGAATGAATGATGGCAGAGAGGTATTTACTTGTTGCTACCCTTTGGTTCAAGAATTCTTGTATAAAACCAAACAAATGAAGTGAAACTCCAGAGTGTTCTTTGAGTCCTGTGAATCAAGGAAGGCCATTTACGCAGGTCACTCCCTCCTAGAGTAGAGTTTTGTGTGGGTAATGGGTAATATGCTAAGTGTGGCTGGAAAACTAATATGATATTTTTTGATTCTAAAACCAGATTTTGCACGCTTCTTTAGTGGATACTGAAAAGTTACTAGGCAGATAATTCTTTACAGTGATCCAATGAGTTACACCTCCATGAAGCAATTCAATCGCTCATCATTTATCATCCCACCTGTGGGACAGTTTCAGTATGTATAGATCCATAGCGTGGATGGGTTTCACTTTGTGAAATGCAGTGACTCATGTACTGGTTTAGTACTTACAAAGAAATATGGGACCTACTGAGAACTTCTAAGGAGCGGTCTGAATGTAACTGAGTCAATAAAAACCATTTTACAGAAGAATAAAATACTAAGTATTGGTAAATATTGGTATCGATATTTGTCAATGTTAGTATAATGATATTAGTAAACTTTATTTCATATAGAAAAGTCCATTCATAAAAGGGACCTAATTTATTCCTTACCTCCACCCCAAGAAATAGATGAAGAAACTGAGCCTTTAAGATTTTGTGACTTAATGGCATATAAGTCGAAAATGAGGAATTTGGGAATACAGCTCAGGGATTCTAAGTGATCTCAGGGTCTGTCCCTGATAACTTGCCTCATAGGTTTAGGGAACAGTAAAATCTCTGGTCTGTTGGGAAGGAAAAGATGTGAGCAGTCAAGATGTAACTTTTAGTTGTTGTTTTCTAGACCATATTTTAGATTTAAAATATAAAGAAATATAAAGTGCCATTAAGATTATTTTCACTTCATCAGTATTGGGGGTCTGACAATTGGGTTTGACAATTCTGTCAAACTGGGTTCGACAGAACATTTAATGGAGATTGTCTTTGTTTTTCTTTAAGAGTCAGTCTGAGAGGTTCTCTGATAAAATTGAGAACAGTCTGTCACTTCTGAGAACTAACCACATCCCACAATCAAGTCTGATAAAAAATCAGAAAAGAAGTAACTTACTTTGAGAAAATGTGATAAGTCCATAACGTAGAGATGAAGCTACAAGCAGGACTTGGACACAATGCATGTGTTTGGAACAAACTGGCTCCAGCTTCAAAATCTATGGACAGATATATGTCAGTATCAGTAAATGAAGAGAGAACTGTACATGGTGAGCAGAAAGCCAAGAGAATGAGTGATAAATAGTCATTAGGCAAGCAGAGGAAATGATCAAAATAACCACCGAAGAACAGTAAAGTCTAAATCTATCTTTTTTTTTTCCTTCCGGTGATATGTTGACATTATTGAAACCTTGCATCAGTATTTTCTAAAACTAGATCTCTTCGGTTAGACAATAAAGAATTATGGCAGTCGCTCTCCCAAAAAGAGGTCCCATTGTGCTAGAAAGGAATTCAGTATGCCAAGAAAAGAAGTGGAACTGTTGGGGTATGATGTAAACAAACTACGAGAGAGTTCTAGGGTTGCAAATGTGAGTGCTTAATGTTTCTAAGCCTCCAATTCTTAGTACGTAAAACTTAAATAATAATTCAAAGCATCATTTTGAGAAATAAAGAGATAATTGGCAAAAGGACTCAAAATTAGCGATGGCTAGGTAAACTGTTGCTACTATTTTCCACACATGCTTTCCTAAGCTTTCTTGTATGGTTAGAGACTATAGTTTAAATAAGGAAAAAAATATAACAAAAATACTGTGCAGGATTTAAAAGATCTCAAAGTTTATCAAGAAGTTAAGAAGTTAAATAATTTGCCTAGCATTGCTCAGCTAGTAGAACTAGCTGAAAACTACCTCTGTTTCATTGCAAAACTGCTGCTCTTTTCCTCTATCCCAGTCTGCTTCTGTAAATGAGCTAATTTGTAAGCAAAGAAAAGGTGATAATTACATTTATAATTTCCTTTGCTTTCAAGTTTAAGCCCTAGTACCTCTGGTCTAGGGGATGAAGGTCTTGTGTACTGCTGAAGAGAAATAATGTATTTTAAATACTTCCCTTCCCTCTTTTTTTTCTTGCAACAATCAGAGGTGTGAGGTGGGGATAGTATAGAGCTCAGCACACACTGGCCATGAATCCAGGGCTCGGGGCCACTTCAGTCCCAAGCCCAGTGTCAGCCCGCCCCCAGCCACCAACTCAGCCTAATTTGAACCTTCTTGTCTAGTGAAGGGGTGGTTCTGATGGTAAAGAATCTGCCTGCAATGTGGGAGAGCCAGGGTTGGATCCCTAGGTGGGGAAGATCCCTTAGACAAGGGAATGGCTACCACCCCAGTGTTCTTGCCTGGAGACTTCCTTGGACAGAGGAGCCTGGAGGATCAAGGTCTGTGAGGTGGCGAAGAGTCCAACAGGACTGAGTGAGTGACACTTTCTCTAGAAGGGACACTGCATGATACTTCACGATCTAAATGCAGGTAGCAAAATTACTATTTCAAAGCCAGGAAGGGAAACACCTGAGGAGATAATGGATTTGCTGAAAAGGAATATGTTTTGGATTTTTCTTCCCCAAATTGTGGGAATGATATGTGGGTGGAGAAAATATTCAAGTAAATATGGTATGGTGAGGAGCCTCTGTAATATGAGCCTCCTATCTCAAGGGAAAGGTCTTTCTGGGTCTGTGGCCCCCGGGGCAAGAATTAACCCATCCTTTTTCCACTTTTCTGGCTCGCAGGCCTGGCTAGAATCTGGACAAAGGAGCTTTTAACCCCTCCTCTTTCTTCCTCCTCCGCCCTTTGCCTCAGCTTGTGTGCAGCTGAAAGGCAACCACCCAGCCCTGAACCATTTGAATAGAGTACTAAGTAGAGAAAAAGCTGTATATAAAATTTTAATTAAATGGAATGAGTATATTTTTGCAGGGAAAAAAGAAAGTTGTAAATTACCTAGAGACGTTTAAAACTGTTTTTGCCCTTCTCATTTTTTTGTTTCCTTCAGACTGTCTGTGGAAACTTCGTATTCTCTGCCTTTCATGTGTGTCTTTTTATTTAAAGTATGGTGTTTTTCAAAGAAAGGTAGATGATTAATTGGAGACACTGTAATGTTTCTAGGCAAAAGGTGTAAATATTACTCATCCGATGAGAGATTTCCTATTTACATTTATTGTTGCTTATATAACATTCAAAATGTGTTGGGAGGAAACTTGTTATTGTGCTGGATCAGATTCAAAAGAGGAAGTGTTTCCCTTCTGATTATTTTGTTCTCATCACACATATTTCACAGCTTTACTGAATGAGGGTTACTTAGTCTCTGGCATTAAAGAAAGTGTCCTCTAAACTCCGAGCTTCACTTTTCTTAGGCTTGGGAGCCCTATTTTGAAGGAGGAGTTTCTCTGCAGGACTTTAAGTTGTCTACTCCAGACCAGGCTTGCTAACTGCCGTTGGTGGAATAGATGATTCAGACAAAAGTCCACACATTTCACCAATGGGAGTGACCCAGATCTTACACGTAGCCCTGAATCTGTCCTTGGGAAACTTTAGGTTCCAGTGTTGGTATCATTTGTAGTTAAAGTTGTGGTTGAATAAGCAAAAATAATCTTATTCATTCGAAGAAAATCAACATTGGAAAATTCTTCATTTATATGAAAACTGTTTTCAAGCATTATCCCAACTTGATTATTTTAAAAATATTGTCAAGATTTAAGAGAAATTATGTATTTTGACACACTGATTTGAATATATATAGCTGTTGTTGATTGTTTCATTCACTGTGTGTTTTGCACATCGTCTAACACAGTGCCAAACAAAAAGCAGTATTAGTTAAATAAAAGGAAGAAGGAATGAATGAATAAATGAATAACTTCAGCTTCCAGAAACTTCCATAAATGACTGGCTTACAAAACTCTAGCAAACATTCAGCACTGTGCATATTTAAATATAGATGCAAAATTTAATGTTGGATGTCAGCTCTCTAAAAATGAATTCTGAGGCATGGAAATACTCTGTGTACTGCATCCTGAGATAGTAATTTCATAGCCCTGAATCCATCATATTTAGTTTCTTTCATTAGTTTTCAAATCAGTCTGAGAAAAAAAAAATACAGCTGAACATCTAAAAACAAATGAATGCTATCAGAGCGTGGCTTTCAGTTGAATCATTACAGGAAGGAAATAAATGGACAGCATAAGATTACCAAGTGGTTGAGAAAAGAGCTTCATTTTAATTTGATCAGTCAGTATCTCAGGTTATTTGCATAAGTCACAGGTTACGTCCATTAAATGTATGCTAAATGTAATGACAGCTGACCCTAACAACGCTTCTGCATGTAATGAAATTAAATTGTTTTTCAAGATTCTTAGCAGCTTTGACAAGGATGCAAGGCATGTACTATCTACAGCTCTATCAGTACTTTGGGGCCTTGGGCCATGCTGTTCCCTATGGGCACACTTTGGCAATTCAGATCTCTCTTCTAATAGAATCATTTCCTAGAAAAACAAACAGACCCAGACACTCTGCATTCTCTTGTGTCACCACAGGCTGCCAACTGCAGTCGCTGCCTCGTTGAATCAAAGTTGTCTGCTTCTGCTGTTACAGGGAACAAGAGACCCACTGTTCTTGACTGGTGTCACATTCCCATCTGAGTATCCCATCTATGAGGAGACCAAAATAAAGCTAACAGTCTATGATGTCAAGGATAAGTCTCATGACACTGTAAGTACTTGAACTTAATTTCTTTCTTTGGGAAAAGAAATGGGCTTTTCCAAACCGTCGGATTTGTGATGTAACTGGCATTTTTCAAAGAGGTGCTTTGTGCTGTGTTTATGCTTGTCTTATGTGTATAGTTTGCTGGGATTTTTTTTTTTTTTTTTCAAATTCTTTTGGCTTCCTGCCACACTGGCAATTGGTTCGGAGCAAAAGCTTTCAGAACAGTTTTTCCTTCTTTTTCAGGGAGGCTGGCTTGATGTGTTGGTTTATATTTTGTCATTGCTGCTTTAAGTGTTGTTGAAGAAGTAACATTGTGGGCAGAAAGCAAATGGAAGAGATTAAATAATACATCAAAACTTTATAATATTGCCATTATTCTAAAATGAGATTGATAATGTTCTGCTTTCGCAATTTATTTTACGTATAACCCTAACTCCCTCTATTCTTCTGATGTTGTTCGTGGCACCAAAGCAAACAGGAGAGGAAGTAACTGTCAGCATGAGGCAGAATTGGCCTCATTACAGGAAGGTCATGTCAGGTCCTGATGGTCTTTTGTTCTAGGTTCTTTAGGTTTCCTACAGGGTCTGAATTTTCCTCCTCTTGAATCAGTGGTTCAAGTGAGACCATTAGGTACCCAGCCACTCTCACCGGAGGCCACCCTGAAAATTTCAGGACAGGAGAGAATGCTATCAATAGGTACTGGGAAGGAGATGGTTTACCAGGAGCCTTCTTCTTTAAATCTTTCCCATGAGAATGAATGTTTGTCTGTTTTCAAAGCTTGAAAGTGGGGAGCCATGGGAGTATTGACGATCCACAATGAAATGCAAGTCAGGAAACACTTTGAAGGCAGGTAGACCAGTAGGTTCTGGGAGAATTCTGCTTGAAGCTGACAGGTGCTACTGGGCTTGGAGAGTCAGTCATAACTGGTCAAGGGGAAGTGCAGCTTTCATTTCTGTCCTCACTAGGCATTTCTGTCTTGCTCATGAGTCTTTCTTTCCTTTTCATTCTTTACCACAAAATATATAGCATAGGTAGATGGTAGGAATATGTAATAGAGAAAAAAAAATCTGTCTTGAAGGCATTTCTACTCATCTCAGACCCAGAAAAGTTCATGTCTTTAAATATGCAAAAGAAATGCCCAATGAAATGCACAGCACATGTGTGGTAAAGAAGCAGTGATGGCGGTCAGGTAGAGTTGTCGAGGCAGACTGTCTGGTTTCCTGTTCTGCTCACTAGCTTTGTGACTCTGGGAGAGTTGATCCTCATTTCTGTTTACCTGGGGGAGCAGTGTTGTAAAGATTAAATAAGTTAATATGTGTAAAATATGTAGAAGAGCAATAGCTACAGAGCAGTAATTGCAAGCTTAATTGCTGTAGTTATTGTTTTGGCTGCTGTCTCATGTCTCTCATAAATAGTAAAAATCAAATAAAGGAATATTAACCAAAGTTTTATCCAATTTACTAGCTGTGTTTTTCTAAGTAATCCTACATTTATTATTTCTGATCGAAAGGGAAAGATAAAAATATTTTAAGAGACAAACATTTGGGGTTAAAGCTGGCAACTAAAAAGGTCTTGCTTTGAAGTTTTGTTCTTTTCTTTTCCCTTTATATGCCTTTTCCTTGATTTTTGAAGTGACATGGAAAAGGAGTAGATTGGGAGAGCTGGGCCAAAGATTACACACAAATCCTACAGCATGACTTTTTTTTTTTTTGTCTTCTGCCAAAGAGAGAGGCAAATTGGGGGAACAAAAGCATAAAATTGGGGAAAAGGGAGATATGGTTTAAATGAAAAGTAGGAGAAGGTGGCACAATTTTGCAGAGAAGTAATAAGCAGGGAAGTGTCAGGGTGATGGGGAAAATAAAGCAGAAACTCTGGGATTTTATGTTTTTTCCAAGCACATGATCAAAAACAGTGCTCCCAAGGTCCCAAAGTGTAGACAGGATGAAGAATATGGAAGGGTCAGAGGTATAGAAACACTATGCTACAGAGATGAAAATGTTGAGCTCTTGGGTTGGTTAAGTCCTTAGGAACAGCAGAGTTAGAAATATTAAATACCAAAGGTGTTTCTCTCTCCTTCAATCTGCGTCATTTAAAATGTTAGGTATTTTAATGCTCTAGGGATAGATAATTAGCTTACCCATTAAGTATGCTTTTTTTTTGGCTTTTATTCCGGAAACCTATTAATTAGGGTCTTTTAAAGATTTTCTTCCTTGATCTAGAGGTGTTATCACATAAAAGTATTGAATGAACTGGAATCCCTGCTGTGAAATAAGACTTGTGAAATTTGAACATACTTAAGAAATGCAACCAGCTTTCATTTATGAAATGCTGTTAATTAAAGCATAACTTCTTCCTTAAAATAACTAACAATTAGTTCTAGTGATGGAAGTGTAAATAGAAATACAGTTCATTAATATGCAGATAGTCTCCATGTATGTCATGTATGTGTAATCTTTATCCTGGCGCCTTTCTTCCTTTTTTTTTTTTTAATTGGAGTATAGTGGTAAAACCCACCTGCCAATGCAGGAGACATGAGATGCTGGTTTGATCCCTGGGTCAGGAAGATCTCCTGAAGGAGGGCATGGCAACCCTGGAAAATCGATTTGCTTGGAAAATCGCATGGATTGAGGAGCCTGGCAGGCTACCATCCATAGGGTTGCCAAGAGTTGGACATGATCAAAGTGGCTTAGCACACACGCATAGTTGATACAAAATGTTAGTTTCTACTGTACAACAAAGTGAATCTGTTATATGTATATATATATCTCCACTCTTTTAGTTTGTTTTCTTTCCCTGTATAGGCCATTACAGAGTACTGAGTAGAGTTGTTGAGTTGTACAGGAGGACTTTATTGTCTATTTTATACACAGTAGTGTATCTGTATCAATCTCAATCTCCCAATTTATCCCTCCGCCCCTCCCCTCCATAACTTATTTTCCACATCTGTGTCTCTATTTCTGTTTTGTAAAAAAAAAAAAAAAGTTCATTTGTACCATTTTTTTTTAGATTCCACATATAAACAATATCATATGATATTTGTATTTCTCCGTCTGAATTCACTCAGTATGATAGCATCTAGGTCCATTCATGTTGCTGCAGATGACATTATTTCATCTTTTTAATAGCTGGGGCCCTTTCTCTTATTTAAGTTTCTGTTATTGTTCTTTGCTTTTTTATTATGGAAGTAAATACAGAATTGGAGAAGGTAGCAAGTAAATTTAAAGTGCAGTTTAGATTAGGGGCACTTATGACCCTAAATATTTTAAGATCATAGTACTTTTAAGGGTTATGAAATGAGATTATGAATGTTTATGTATTTTGGAAAATCAACAAATAATCAACAAATATTTAAAAGTTGGTTTAAATATTTGATCCCAATAAACCATTCATCGTATTAAGACAGGACAATGAGATATTCTTTACTTGCTGAATATAAATTAATTTAGTCAGCTGACTAAATTCCTTGTCTTTTTCTGTTGAATTCATTATTGCTTGGAATTAACCAGTCAAATAGATTTGTTACTTTGCAATCTCATGTTTGTTTATATACATATTACTATTAGAAGTTTTAAAGAGATAATGATATGTTATCTGTGCCCTTGATGTGGCTATTATCCTAGAATCTTGTTAGGTTCTTTGAACATAAGATTATCTTTCATTATAACTTCAACAGAAATGCAATCAGTCATTGTACAGAATGAGAAGAGTCTATTGATTCATAATGACTCTTGTTTTCTCCTACCACATCCTTCATCCTTCCCATTCATAGCAATCAGTCTCTCTTTGCAGCAGATGGATGGATAATGCTTGGCAGGTAGGGAGGCAGGGAAGGGGGGACATGGGTTCATTATTAGAATTAGAGTCACCTTTTTGGTATTTGCCTTACCTGAGGAAATTATTTAGGGCTTCCTTGGTGGCTTAGCAGTAAAAAAACAACCTGCCTGTCAGTGCAGGAGACATGGTTCAATCCCTGGACTGGTACAATCCCCTGGAGGGGAAAATGGCAACCCACTCCAGGAGCCTTGCCTGGGAAATTCTGTAGACAGAGGAGCCTGGCGGGCTGCAGTCCATGGGATTCCCAAAGAATCAGACACGACTTAGCCACTAACATTCTTAAAGATTGAAATTGAAGCCCATGACTAAAGTATGAGAGCCTAAGTTCTAACAGTGAAGTTGATGTCTTCTGGATATATACTGGTTGTATGCTCTATTTTAGCAGTCTGCAAACTGAAACAAGACAGACAAATGTGTTTTTAGCACATCATTTACAGTGTTCTGCCCTAGGGAATCAAGCTGGGAATCTGGGTCTTTCATATGTTACAGCAAAACTCAGAGGAAGGAGAAATTTATGAATGAAAAGAATATCACCATTAAACTTTTCTGTCTTTCCTCTTTTTCCCAAGCAACACAGTGTTTTGGAAAGTACTGAACAAGGTTCTTTTAATACCCAGCTGAGGATGTCCATCTTTCTATAAACACCTGATTAGGTCACAAAACTGTTTTTGTCCGTGGTAGAAATTTAAACTGCTAATGTGTTTTGCAGGAGGGTCCATTGATTTCACTCCGTTTGCTCTAGAGCTACTAAATGTTTGCTGTCTCTCCAGATTGCTAGATGTTTAGCTTGTACGACAGAGCCCCATGTTCAATAGATACTGAACACATCTCAGGTGAGGACATGTGTCCTAAGATTTTTTTAAATTGCCCTTCACTGACAACTCCCTATTTCTACCTTTCAAAAAAAATTGACCTTATCTAGATTGGATATTAATTTATTGTATTTTGTGTGTTATATGTACAAATAAGTTTAGTTCTAGTACACTTCCCTAGGCAGAATTATCCAGTTCAGTTTTTATGTTTCTCAAAGGAAAATAAAACCATTTTCTATCTAATATACTTTGACTTGGCTTGATTTTCTCCATTGTCTTCTTACAAGTTTTATGTCTAACTGTACTTATTGAGATAGAGTTTGTGATTTTTCTTCTCTACCTGGAAGATATGGTACACTG